CTTCCTTCCTTCCTTCCTTCCTTCCTTCCTTCTTTCCTTTTTCCTTCTTCCTTCTTTCTTTTCTTCCTTCTTTCTTCTTTCCTTCCTTTTTTCTTTCTTTCCTTCTTTCCTTCCTTCTTTCTTTCTTTCCTTCCTTCCTTTCCTCCCTTCCTTCCGTCTTTCTTTCTTTCATAATTTTTTTAAAATGCCTTCGGTATAAGTATTCCTTCGCTCGGCCTTTGTCTCTCCCTTGCAAGACAGAGAGAGGCACACGCCAAAAAATAAAGGTCGATTTTTGAAGAGCAGCGTTGGAAAGAACCCCACTGGATAGTTAGTGGAAGAATAGGCTAGGAAGTCAACTGATTGGGGGTGTGGGGGGGGTCTCCTTTCCCCCCCGCCTGCATTTACAAATTTTTGGGGGGAGGGGAACAAAGCAACGGGCTGATTTTGTAGGCAGGCAGCCTCCCTCCTTGGCTTGCGGGAAACTTATTCCGAGATGCTTTATCTGGGGTTTCCCTAAAATTGCTTTTTGCACGGTTCCCACTGCCGTTTAATGCGTTTAATGCAGTGTGTGAAGTTTTCTCTTATCCCGGGTGGTAATTTCGGAGTGCTGGTTTTGGACGGCCGAATCCTTACAGGATCTGGACCTTGCGGGGATCATCTATCCGAAGGATCCGTCTTCCTCGGAGAATCTGCTTCTCCTTTCAGACCCTTTCAGATCTCTTCCTTCAGGTCCCTGATGTCGCCCGGCCCCCGGAAAGGCCCAACGGACCCCGAGTGAGAAGGGACTTTACAACCGGCCCTTCTCACTCGGGTCCTTTTCAGAAATTGCAGCCCTCTCCCCCCCCCCCGTTTCTTTCCAGAGAATGCCCTTCCCTAACAGATCCCCGGTTGGCCGCCTTCAGATGCTGTTTTTATAAGAGTTTGCAAAGGAAGCAGAAAAGGCTCTGGAAATCAGTGCACGCGCCTCGCCCGTCGCCTTTATTTTAAACTTATTCGGGCTTTTGCATNAAGGCCAGATCCTGAAGATAAAACTTAAATACTTTGGCCACCTAATGAGAAGGAAGGACTCACTGGAGAAGAGCCTCATGCTGGGAAAGATGGAGGGCAAAAGAAGAAGGGGATGGCAGAGAATGAGGTGGCTGGATGGAGTCACTGAAGCAGATGGAGTGAGCTTAAATGGACTCCGGAGGATGGTAGAGGATGGGAAGGCCTGGAGGAACGTTGTCCATGGGAGTCACAATGGGTCGAACACAACTTTGCAACTAACAACAAGGGAAAGGCGGGGGGGGGGGGAGTGCCAGGAAGGCAGGAGAGGGAATGGCCCAATGCCAGACTGGCTATTCACACACACTCCTAACTGGGAAACAGGGCAACAGTACAAAGGTCGGCCCATGATAATTTCTCCCTGGTTTATCTGAATTTCTACAGCAAGATACAGGTGTCCTCGACCTACGACCACCATTAAGCCCAGGATTGATGCTGCTAAGTGAGAAATTTGTTTTGACCCATTTTACGGCTTTTCTTGTTGCGTTTGTTAAGCAAATCACTGCAGTTGTTGAATTAGTACAGGGTTGTTCAGTGAATCTGGCTCTCCAACTTCAGTGCAGGTGTTCACTTACTGACACGGTTGTTAAGTGGCTTCCTCCACCTATTGACTTTGCTCATCAGAAGGTCGCAAAAGGGGATCCCATGACCCCAGGACACTGCAACCGTCATAATTATGTACCAGTTGGTTGAGCATTTGTATGTAAATCACACAGCCATGGGGATGCTGCAAAGGTCATAAGTGTGAGGAATGGTCATAAATCACTTTTTCAGAGCCATTGTAACTTTGGTTGGGCAGGGGGTTGGACTAGATGGCCTACAAGGTCCCTTCCAACTCTATTAATCTGTTGATCACTGGAAGCTCTCAAGAAGGGATTAAACTGCCATCTGCCAGAAATGGTGTAGGATCTCCTGCTTGGGTAGGGGGTTGGACTAGATGACCTACAAGGTCCCTTCCTCTTTTGATTCTGTTCTGCTGGGTTACAGAAACCACTCCGAGACCCCTTCCAAGGGGGGCAGGACTCCTGCCACCCAGTCCTTCTCCCACTCCCCTCTTTTTTTCTTTGCATTCCCTTTCCCTGGAAAGGGCCACTTTAAGAGGCCGGACGAGCTACTGGCTCGGCCGCCGCCGCCGCCTTCGCTCGCCTTCCAAGCGGGCGCGCCTGGCATCCAGCTGCACAAGCCTCTCGCTTCCTGCCTTTGGCGCGATTGGCTGGCACTCGATCTCCGCCTTTGCCCGGGCAGGCGGGACCCTCCCCCTTGTGGGTTAGACACGCCGAGCGAGCACGGAAGCTGATTGGCAGGCCGGAGCGGTGATTGACGGCTGGGGCTGTTTGCAGGGAAGAGAAACGGGGGAGGGCATTCCAGCAAGGCTAGTTGCTGCGGCTGCCGAAGTTCGCTGCGCCACCGGGCACTCGACTTCGCCTTTTCCCCTTTATATATAGACATTATCTATTTTGACTGCTGCTCCGTTTTCTCTGTGTGCTCTTCTGCTGATCACGTTTTCTTCTCTCCTTCCGTACCTCCTCTTCTTCATCCTCCTCCTCCTCCTCTCCTCCTCCTCCCGCCACTGCTCCCTTCTCCCTCTCCCTCCTCCGCCCCGTCTCTCCTTCTCCTTTGGAAACCACTCTTCTTATAGGGAGAGACTAGTGGTTAGATCTGAAGCTGGATGGATGGTTATGGGGAAAGGGGCAAGCGCGAAAGCCCTCGGACTGACCCAGTTCTTCCTCTTGTGGCTCTCCATCTTCCCCGCAGGTAAGGAGCGCCGGTTCCCTCTCCCCGTCTCCCCTTTGTTTGTCTGCTTTGGTTTTGTTTTTAAATCTTGAAAAGTTTCCTTGGGGGAAAAAGGGGTCTTTTACAAGAACCTTGCTCCGGGTTTCCCGATGGGTAGCTAGCCTCCAAGGCCTCGTCCTTCGGGCCGTGGGCTCTCCTATAAAGCATCGGGTAGAGTCGGGTGGTTTTTAAGCTCAGCTGGATTCCCCCATCCCGGGCCGGTTGCTTTCCTTCCTTCCTTCCTTCCTTCCTTCCTTCCTTCCTTCCTTCCTTCCTTCCTTC